CTACTACTACTACTACTACTACTACTACTACTACTACTACTACTACTACTACTGTCATTATCATATTGTAAAGCGCACAGGCCCGCTAAACTGCCGGTACTTACATCAAGCATGTTCACTTAGCAAATAATAACAACCCATTTTTCCCTTTGGTGTTGCTATTAATTATTGTCACACGTGGTGTGGTGGCAAGATTCATGGCGTCGGTAGTCTAGTGGTTAGCGGTTAGCCTACCGGACTCATAATAGATATGTTACGGTTTAGGGGGTTCGAACCTCAGCTCGGCCCGACGGTGTGTCTTTGGAAAAGACACTTAACACGAACGTTCTTCCCACCACCCAAATGTGAAGGTTTACCCGGCCATAGGCTGCGAACAAAAGATGTTGTCAGTACGTTAACTCAACTTCTTACTCTGCGTTGTAGAGAACCCCAAACTTGATCGTTGGTTGAATAACAAGGCCGAGACCACAAAAAGAATAGCAGCTACTAAGCTAGGCAACAATTCTCTTAACTCAAAATAATGATGAAGGGGCTGCTGCTGCTGCTTCTACTGCTGCCTCTGCTGCTGCTTCTGCTGCTGCTGTTGTTGTTGTTGTTGCTGCTGCTGCTGCTGCTGCTGTTGCTGCTGCTGCTGCTGATGATGATGATGATGATGATGATGGTGATGATGATGTTGTTGTTTGTGGTGCTGGTAGTGGTCGTAGTATTCTAACTGTACTGGTAGTGATGATCACAACAATTAGAATGGCAACAATACCACAAAAAACCCACAAAACAATAGCAACAGCAACAGCAACTGTAGCATCAAACATGAACAACAATACATGCAAATATATTTTATAATTAATATATTATTATGGACCTTATCTCCTAGCAGATCAAGCCACAGGCGATGGGATTAAGTCGGAAGCGCGACCTATTGACGTCCACATACCTGGTCAAGCGAATGTCTACGCTAACATTGAGTGGCCAGAGGACTTGCCCGTACCCACGATGCAACATTCAGGGCCAAAACTTGTGGGCGTTGGTCAGATCGGCACCATCTCTTTGCTGGAAAGTATTGAGGTGAGCTTTTGGTTGTCATCTCATTTATCTGTTTTTTGTCTGTCTCTTCGTTTATATTATTGTATTTCTCTGAGACATGTCTGTCTACCGGATGTAGTTCTATTAGATCAGCGTCATCGATCTGTTATTTACCTGTCTTTTCATTTTGGGTAAAGGTATTTCTATGAGTCATGTTTACCAAAGGTGTTTCTATAAGTCATGTCTACCGAAGGTATTTATGTGAGCCATATATATCGGCGTCTGTGATGTAGCGGTTAGAAGCTTAACTGTCGAGCGCAGAAGACCCAAGTTTGATTTCCGTGAGGAGGAGACTAATTTGTATCCCTATCTCGGTCTTTCTGTAGGGACGTTGTTCGAGTCCAGGTTGGCCCTAGCAAGTGGGGTCAAAGCCAGTCCGTGGTGATTTAAACTGTGTCGATGGAAAAAGTAAAGAACTTTACGTTAAGAATATAAATTAAAGAACCCGTGAACAACATTTCAGTTTCAGAAAAGGATTCGGACTTATATTTGACAGCAGTTGACAGCTTCCAAGTTTTATAACATTTTTAGGCTGAACGAAGATGGAGTTCTCTTCAGTTCTCTTTTTAAGTTCATTTTTTAAATCGATGAAGGTCATCCTTACAACAGAAAATGTTATAACTAATATCTGTGTTTGATAATTAGACGATAATTTTTTCAAAATATAACTTTCAATTTATATCATTCGAATGCTTTATCTAAATTAACAGATATTATCAAAAAAGGGTGACATGTGGTTTTTGTTTGCCCGTACAATGTATTTGCTTTATGAATAACTAACACCCATGCAAATTATTTTTAAATGCGATCATCGGTCTCTTAAACTTAAAAAGGACTTTGGGGAGTAACTTAAACAGCCCAAGTTGAGAAAATTCCGGGCTGGGATATAAACCCTGACAGAATACTTCCTAGTCTAGCGCGGTTTTTAAAACAAAGTCAGACGCCCCCCCCCCCCCCCCTTTCGCCCCCCTCTCCCCTTCCAATATGTTTAGAAACTCACCTAAACTGATGCTAAACCTGTGTACTTCTTACGAATGTGGTCTTTTAATCCATGCCCATTGTTTGCTCTCAGGAATCAAGAGATCTGGAAGAAAAGTTTGTTGAAAGTCCAACAAAAGGGGAAGCAACCAGTGACATCGGAGTCTTCAGCGATTATGGTGATGATGACGGTGATTATGGCGGTGATCAAGTAAAGGAAGAAGATGACGAGGCAGAGCTTCCTCCACCACGACTATCCAAATCCCAACCATCATCTCAACAGAAACGGCCAGGAGGGTCGGCTAGCAGTCGCAAAAGCCGCAGTGCTCCTCATGGCTCGAGAGGGAGCAGTCCTCGGAGGAAACTATCTCTGAAGAAAACTAAAGTGGGCCTGCAGAAAAACAGGATCGTTGGACCGAGAGATACAAAGATCCCATCTGATGTGAGGGGCCTGGGTTTTAGACATGGAAAGCAACTCGACTCTGGCAACGGAGGAGAAAGCGAGAAGAGAACCAGTATAGACGAGGGTGTTCCCGGTCTGGCGTCAACAACCGCGTCCGCATGCGATTCCTCCTCAGCATCTCCGGAATACTCCGCCAAATTCTCAGCGTTCAGGGGTTCTGTCACTTCTGAAGAAAGCGAGGACAGCCCTCGCGCTGAGAATGGAGCCGCAGCCCAGGAAAAGCAACAGACAAGTAACAAAGGAAGCTCTTTTTCAGAGGATATGAATTTGTCCTCACCCAATGAAATACTCGAACTTCCAGAATCTCCTCAAACGTGGAAGTCGAGAGCTGACTTATCAAACAGTCCTGACAGTGGAAAAGTCAGCCCTATACCGCGCCCCGCTCCCGTCATTCGCTTTGAGTGGCAGGAAAGTTTGAGCAAAGATTCGTCTCTATCAAACTCTGACGTAAACAGCGAAGGCAAGTTGGCGAGCACTCGGTCAGAACAAAAGGACAGTATTCGCATCTGCTTTGACTATCGAGACTACCTCAGTGACTCCGCCATTCCCAAGAAAACTTTCTCCAAAGAAACTCGGTCCAGGCTGGTGAGTCGTGTGGAGAACGTGATTTCTCCAGACCTAAAGATGAGGCTTATGGCTGGAGACGCCTCTGTACCAGTACCTGCGAGTTGATGACCCCATCATGCTCTAGTTTTTAAAACAAATGTTAATTATTTGTGCAGTCATGAATTTTACTATGACTGTCTTCGTGTACATAGATATTATATCGTAATCTAATCTCCAGTTCTTTCCCCCTCACATCATTCGGATGAGATGTGCTCAATGCGAATGAAATTCCCCCCCCCCCCCCCAAACAATAAATAAATAGATAAATGCTTTTCTCAAATCAACTTTTTTCTAAAGGTCAAGGGAATACATGTACATGATCCGACACTTAAGTCCTCATCCAAACCGCTCTGTTTGCTGCTGCCCTTCCAAACACTCAGCTAAAAACGGCATTAAACATTGAAGCCATACATATTGTACATATAGCAGACGTTTCACCTAAAAAGGATTTTGCTTTTCAAAAGGCCGATTTTGCTTCTCATCCAGGCACATGTTGCCCTCGTTCCCATGCTCCCTCCCTGCTAAGGCATGCAGCTGTGGAAACCAAAACACAGTTCACGTCTTGTGACTAAGAGAATTTTTAATTTGTCCCTTATACGAGGTACCCATAGGGGGGTCAGGTCGAGGAGGGGCGGTTTACTAGCCAAATTGAGGGCGCCAAGCGGCTATCGTGGCACAAACCGATCGCTCCTGACTCGTCGCCTCAAAAACAAACGCGTTTGTTTTCAGGCGACGCGTTGGTCGATCGACCAGACCCGACCCGACCCGATCCCATTCGCTATGGGCACCCGGTATTAGACGTACGAAGACAACAGTCTCTGCTAGGCGAAACTGGCATCACTGATGCTTAATGAGGGATAGTTGTTGATAAATGCTTTTTTTTTCAAACATCTCCTGGCTGTTTACCTCGGGTGAAGAGAAGTACTGAGATGCGGATTTGGTTTCTCAGAAATAGTTTGATGGCTAGTTTAACACCTGTTGGTTGGGATGCCCTGCACTGGCTACTTACATCTCTGGGCCTGTTCGGGGCATTTGTAGGCTCTTTGTTCTTCTCTCATGTTGGTACCATGTATGAAATTTTAAGCTGTAAAGTAAATTATGAACATTCTTGCCGATATTCAATTCATTTTAAAGTTTGTTTCGTTTCATCGTGCCATCTTCGAATGCAAACTATCAAAATGTTTGCCTTAATAATAAACCTTTGAACTCAAGAAAACCTCCGTGTCACGTAAATGTTTGTGTGTGTTGTTTGTATGTGTGTGCATGTGAAAATTATTGTGGCGTTTGTCCCTTGGGTGTTCTTTATTAAAAGATAAGTTCTAGTGGGCTATTGACAATTATTTTAATTATCCTGCTATTTCAATGGGGAGGGGGGTGCGGTCGAGCCTTTCCCGTTTTCCCAAACGAACTATCATCTAGACAATACACAGGAAGGGTAGGACTCTCTCACGAGGACTTCACTTTTTTTCTTTCTTTGTTTTTTGGTAAGTGTTTTACGGCGCTCGCAACTGCATAAGATCATATGAGCGTGCGGGACACATTAAACATTTTCAGTTTGTAGGGAATTTTGAATTTTGACCTGGTTGTGGCTGAAGCCTATTCTTATCGATTTTTGCACCACCAAGGGATCTTTAACGTGCGCAATTCGCTCAAGGGATCTCCGAGATTTTTTGCCGTTGTACAAGAAAGCTAGGTGTAGATCTTTCCTACCAGAAGATCACGGGGGTGGCTGAAAGACCGCAGTACGAAGATTCCAGGGAGTAGCAGCAGAAAGGCTGCAGAAAGAGTCAGGCGCCCAGAGGAGGGGGCAAAGGGGGTGAGGAGGTTGGGGCAGAAAGTGGAGACGAAAGCAGACGACAAAATGTTGTTATAGAGCCGGAAAGGATGTGAAAAGAGAACATTTTAGAGAACAAAATAGTTCGTTGCCACCCAGATTCGAACCCGGGACCAATAGAATGAAAGGCGAACACATGACTTCACTTTGCAACACCAAACTAATTCATTGCTGAACGTATAGTCAAGTCAGTTTGAAATATTTTAAAAATATTTTGAGGGCAGCCATATTTTCCTTCATGAGGGGGATACAAAAGCTACCACAACCAATTGGCGCAATTAATTTGATCCAACCTTCTATCACCACTGGACAACCTCACAGTGTCAGCACCACAGGCAAGGTGTAAGGTCAACGTAAAACACCCGCCAATGTTTAATTAAACGTTAAAACAACCGTGGTTATCAAAAACTGATTTAGAATGTGTTCTGCCCCTATGACACTTTTACGCCTACCTGGAACAAACTGGCAGAGAGGAATACAATACCGTTATGTAGGTGTTTTCACGCCCCAATCGAAATAATTAAAATCATTCAGAAGGTGGGCTTTGACCATGATTTCCAAGGCCAACTTGGTTTGAGAGGAATACAACGTCCTCGTAGAAAGATTGAGACAGGAATACTCAATAAAAATTCTCCCCAAACAGGAATCGAACAATATCATCATAGACGCTGGTAGACCAAGTGAAAAGTCAGCATAAACCACTCTTTACTATATGTTGAAACAATAGTAGTAATCAAAACTGATTTAGTCTGATTTAAAGCGTTTTTCGACACCTTGACACGAGTCCGTCTGACGGGCCATACTACTGGCCTTGACCGAAAAGAATACAATATCCCATCATGCAGCAGAACGTACTTTGTTACTTGGTAGGAGAATAGGTATCATCGCAGGCGGTACAATGCCATAGCTGACCCTCCCCACTCTCCAGGATCCACGAAACGATTGGTTTGCTGATCGCGCCAGTCATCAGCTGAATTCTTCTAGCTTTTCCACGCAGGTTGCCGCCCGCCCCCCCCCCCCCCCTCCGAACCCCTTGAGACACCAGCTTCCCTCTAGGTCTTTCTATCATGTTTGATGTAGAACCTTTATCTTCAACCATGCTGCCAATGCTGCCAAAGCCGTTGGTAGATCTAATTGGATGGTGCCGTCAATCCCAGTGTGGTCAGCTAGCTCATCAGTACGTTCATTGCCTCGAACCCATGCACGACCAGGGCTAAATAACTGCTGATTCGTAATGCCTCTCGCCAATCTGCTTACATCGTAAGCTTCTTCTTCTTTTTTTTTAGGATACTCATCGAGTCAGTGACGATGATGGCAGTCTGATGCTTCGTCGCCTAAATTCAGTTCAGGGCCTCTGTGATGGCTTTCATCCCCATTCACATGCTGAACATGGTTATAGTTATACTAGTGGCGCCTGACTGATCTCTCTATATGTCCCCGTTTACACGGACACTGAAAGTAAAAGCCCTTCCGGATTTGACCCCACGCTGCACTAACCCATCTGTGAAAATGGCTAAGTCACCCTGTTCACTGTTCTCCTCTATCAGGGTCTCTACCTCGTCTTTGGCTGCCTCCTCTGGCTATTCATGACATTCTCAGCTTTGGGTTGCTACCATTCGAGTATACATGTATTGCCCAAGTTGTCACAGTGACGCTGACCCATTCCCTGCCTTTTCAGGTGTCTTCTACTTCACAGCATTTAGCAAAAGTCATTCATTCTTTCAGTGCCTCTAAGCAGACGTGTGTGTACAGCTCTTCCCACTATGTCATGCAGTGGGAGCTTATCATCCATGCTGACTCACAAGTAGGCTGTCACCTGAGCAATCTTGTGGCGTTCTACCTAGTCTGGCAGGTCCAAGAGATGGCGCATTGCATCACAGGGTGTGTCCCGTGTGCATCTGAGAACAGTCCTCATACCTTCGTTCTAGATTGTTACAAATCGTTTCTGCTGCGACATCGACAAGACGAAGAAACCAAGACCATAGACTATCAACGACAGAACAAAAGTCTTGCACGGCACAGTATATCTAGTTTGAACTGTCGAATGTAACACCTAGATACCCCAATGACTGTTCACGCTTCGGGACCCTTTCGATGATGATGACTGTGGGCATCTCTGTTTTCACTGCGTAATTGTTCAGCGAACACCGCAACCCACGGGGTGGAGTTTGCGTTGTGGTCTAAGCACCAATGCCCAATTCGATCCAGCTCCTGTTGCACTGCATTAGCTTTTTCTTGCCGGCCCTTCTCCTGCCTGTTAACAAGTACATCACCCAGAAAGATCAGCATACGCCCAGGATCTTCCAGTTGTCCAGAAGGCATTCTAACTGTGTATGTTGAATAACACTGGTGAGAGTGCTGACCCCAGCGGCAGCTCAGGTGTATGCTTCTGGTGCCAGATGTCCGGTTTCCCAGTCGCATTGCAACTCTGTCACGAGGTGGGAGCTAATCTTCAGGCTGATCATTATTCTCAAGAGGACATCATACTCAACTCTATTGCAGGCTTCCTCGAGGTCAAAAGCTCTTTTGCAATGAAGTACAAGTACCCTACCTCCTTTTCTAAGAGCTTGCCGAAGCAGTTTTCCATTATGATCCCTCGATAAACAGCTGTTTTACTTAAGTCCTTGGCAGGCTTGGGGAGGCTGTCCAACCAATCATCCGGTATCTCTCCCTTCCATAGACTCCTGTTGAGGATTTCTGTAAGGTCCCTGATGCTGTCCTCCCAAGGTTTTCATGTGACAGAACTGCACTCCACTGGGCCTGGGGCGGTGTTGGGAGAACAATTGATTGTTCTCTCAACGTCATCCTGATTGAGAGTGTAATCGAGGAGTTCATAATTTGGAGTATCGTTGACGTCATGGATTGGGGAGCCTTTTTTGTTTTGTAGAGAGCCTTGTTATATGTCACCTTCAGCCAGAATTTTCATAAATGGCTTCCGTGGCCTCTATCGCCACGACCTTGAAACACCTTTGAATTCAGCCTCTGCTCTTTTCAGATCTGGGTTCTCTCGGTCGCGTCGGTATGCTTGTAACGCCTTCCTTTTCCGTCTCCGCGATTTCGGTTGCTCATCATTCCACCATGGCGGCTGCGTGATCTTCACATGCTTCATCCTCTTGACTGGGATTGACTTCTTCCTTAGTTTGCTAATACTAATAAGGTCTTTGCCCTTGACCCCCATACAAGAATGCCTTTGTTTTCTTCGCAACTTTTGCAATAGTCCTACGGTTGACAGGCTCTGGGTGTGGCAAGTGGTCGCTTCCATGGTACTTATACCCAAGGACCCGCCATTTATAATCTGTGACAGTTTGCAGCGAGACCAAGACCAGGTAAATAGCTCAATCAGCGTTACTCACTTGTTGTGCCAATCTTAAAAAGCGTTCATCGTTGAGGCATGTTA